AGCTTTCTACAAAGCAATCGTACATCAAATTTCTCTAAAATCTTTATACAAAATCTAGTACAAAATATCCCTTGGAAATCATCCATAAAATTGACAAATTTTCAACATTTCACCCAAGCCAACTTTCAACATTTGATAGTCAGTACCAAAATCAAATCGCTCTACATAAGTGGAAGAGTGTAACATTCTCTTTAATTTAGTTTTTCCAACTCGCTTGGTTGATAAGTGAAGAGCATGTTTTTCTCCAAATCTTTGATGTTGCCGTTGCTGCGTTTTATTCGTTCATCTATTTCACCATTTGGATAAAACCAGGGTTTCGACAGGGTATATTCCTGTTCATCACTGTGTCAACAATTCATCTTCATCTTTATTGTTTAGGCCTCAAACCTTCTGCGAGATGGAAGCATTGGCCAGAATCAAGTGAATTTTGTAGTTAGGAGAATGCAGATTCTAACAACTCCGCAGGTAAAATAACTATATTATATGTTGAAATGCTAATTCTAAGTTAAATGTTTGGGGAATGCCACGAGATGAGACCAACTCATCTGGCAAATTTAATTGGAACATTGCAGAAGTACTTGTATCCATTGATATTGAAGGTCGTTGTTAACTTGTAAATTCATCTGGCATCAGGGCAACAACGATTTTGATTTTTTAAGGCTTATCAATCTCATAAAATATGAGTGGACCCAAGGAACAGTGATTTCAAGTTGGTTCTTTCTTCTTCATAAATAAATAATATTTGATCCAAAAGAATAACGAGAACTACTGTTTGATGCCGTTTCTTCAATGCACACTTACCCCATATTTCCTTTGCCAGTTTTTAAACCAAACGTCACGTTATTAAAGGGGGTGTTCTGATTTTAGTATTTGTGACAGCAAAGTATTAGTTCCAGCTGTCAGTCTAATTTTCAGTATTTTTATTCATTAGTCAGGACTTGTTGTTAACCACCACGCAAGCAATACACTGGAAAGCTTTGGCAGATGGGCGGAGCGGAATAACAATCCTTTGGACAACGATGAAAATCACTACGATTATGCCACTTTATTTACGAGGTAAAACAGTCGTTCAATAAAAAAGCACCCACTCATATAAACTTTCACCCAATAATAGTTCCTGACTGTTAATATAAGTTTTGTCGAGACTCCTTTTTAATCCTTGTTTTTAACAGAAGCTACTTATATGAAATGTGCCGGCTTACTGCGTAGCCTATGATATCCTCATTATCTCTGCCTTTTTTCTTTGTATCTCTTTACAAAAATATGATTATTGTATACTGATTATTGTTTTTTTTTTCAGATATAATATTTGTAAAGACAAGAACCAACCTTGCGAGACATTAGGTATTCTCATTTCTCCACAGTTCTTACCGTATTATTGCTATGTCCCGTACGACAAGTTACCTGCAGCAAATTAATTGTGCCGAGCACAAAATATTGTTTCTCCCAACTGACTGACAGGCCTTTTCTTTTTGTGTCAGGGAATATGGGCGATAAATATCTCTTCATTAATGGATCTCGTTACTAGTCTGCTGGACATTGTTCTAAGAGTACAAGGCGACCTTCAATGTTGATAAAAAATAGGAAATTAGAATGTTTTAAAAACACTCTATTAATGCTAAATTTCCAACAGGTCTTACGAGAACGCGTGGAATGTGCAGCTTCCCCAATTCTGCTAGTGTTGGTCAAGACAACGGTTTGATGCTTGGAATGACTCTCGCACATGAAACAGGACACAGGTGAGCTATGATCAGACATCTTTTTTGATGTTTTTTTAGCGTTTAAGTGTATTATACCAAGTCTTTCAGTTTTAATATATCAGCAAGTACATTGTAATAACTTTTTGCTGTTGCTATTCTCAGTCTTGGAATGAACCACGACAGAGGTGCGTGTCCTGATGGTGTGAACATCATGGCATCTTACCCGGCAGGGAAGCAGTCAGCTTTCCAGTGGTCAGCTTGCAGTAAGAACTACTTGCAACAATTCTTAAAGTACGTACTAAGGCAAACAAAATAATAATTGCTTATTTCATAAATACTTAGTTTCAACAAGATTCCTAACCATTCCATGAACTTCCCGACTGTCAAATGTCCACAAAACAGAGTTTTGCCAACGTTTCCATCATTTACGTCTCGTTAAAATTGAATAGTTTTGCATGCTAAATTGTAAAATAATACAGTTTATTTTCAACGTCTCTAGCTGGCTATTTTGTGCAGTAGTTGATTCCACGTAACAATTATCCATGAATCAGGGTCGGCCATTGGGGAGGGGAGTGGTATACCAGTATACCTGAAAATTAAAACCCATTATACCAAAAAATGTCCTCTCAAATTCATGCGAAATACCAAAATTTGAAAAAAACATGGTATTCTTTATACCCATAAAAGGCCCGATTTTAGCATCAAAATACCGTTTACTTGATTTAAAATCCCCCTGTATACCGTATATCAAAAAGCGTGGCCGACCCTGATGAATATAAATCGGACGGATACGTGGAATAATGTAACGAATATATTTATGACTCGAGGTTCTTGGCAGCTAATATATAGCTGCACGTATCTCTAATTTGGTTATCAATGGCTGAAAGAAGAAAACTTGAAAACTTCAGCAGGCTACTCACTAAATGTAGCTCACAGACATAACTTTTCATATACAGCTGTAAAACAACCAGACATGTAAATAGACTACAAAATAATAGAGCACTACTGTATCACTTAGCTCAGAGGATTCTCGCTGCTTGGATGATAACCCAACCAAAACGAATGTGATAGAAATCAGGACTCTGGACAAGCCCGGTAGACTGTATGACGCCCATGAACAGTGTCAGCTGGCTTACGGACAGGCTGCTAAGTTCTGTGGAGGACAAAAGTTTATGGACGTGAGTGTTCATTTTCAAAAAGCTACGCCAAGTTCTTGAGAGTAGGTACCAGAACTAATCAGCTAATGATAACTGGGCAATGATACCTCACTGAATACTAAGACTATTAGACAGAACTTACTTCGTGTAATATTTCTTATATCTGAGGTGGTTTGTATCGATCTTTTTTATTTTATAGTCTCAGCAAAAATTACACCAGAGATGAATTGAAAGATTATTCTTAGATTATTTTTCAAGAAAAAACACGAAATAACCAGTAAAGGCCTATCCAAACGGGAAATGTTTGGCGACCAAACAACATCAAACATTGTTTGGTGACCAAACATCTTACCGCTTGGCAACCTTGTTTGGTGCTGTTTGATCGTGCTTGATAAAATTTGAAGGCCATCAAACGTTCGATCAAACAACTTAAAACATTTCTTTTATTCTCGTGTTTGATGGGCGATGTTTTGTTCGTTTGGACAGCCGTATCAAACATGTTTGGCGAGCGCATGCGTCCCACGCTTGCTCAGCGGCTTGTATCCATAGTTTCATCTGTGTTTGATCAAACATGTTTTAACCGTTTGGCCACTCACTTCAACATCAGCATGTTTGGTCACCAAACAATGTTTGATAATATTTGGTCACCAAACATTTACCGTTTGGACAGGCCTTAAGGATAAGTTTTGTTGTAGTTATAACTTTCCCATCGTGTGCATTTACAGCAAATCTGCGTGAAGCTCTGGTGTGAGGTGCCTGGGGGAAGTGGAAACTGCAAGACGGCTGAGATACCTGCAGCTGACGGCACTCCGTGTGGAGATAGCAAGGTAACTGTTAACGCGTTATTCGACCATTCGAAACGGTTTTTTAGAAAAGACAGGAACTTAGGTCCTGTAATGGTAACTGGAATATATTTTGTAGCAAGAAAGAAATGTAAATGTATCACATTTTGTTGTAAGACGGATAACTTGGGGGAATTCTGTTCTTGGTTTGGGCTACTGCAAGAGAAACCTGGTTTATTTAATGAAGATGGAACAGTGGGATTCATTAAAACGTATCATCGCTGGCAGCCTTAAGTACTAAAAATAGTTGCAAAGAAATCTCAGTGTTATCATCCGCTCCTGAATGATAGCCTAATAACGTTCCTTCACTTTGATGGGTTTTTTTTTTTTTTTTTTTTTTTATCTTCTTACCTTTTAAGTAGGTCTTTCCTCTGTCAACATTGTTTTANATACTTATCAAAACGATTCCGTGTTGCAGTGGTGTAGAAGGGGTCAGTGTATACCTCTGGGCACTGAAGGACCTGACACCGTAGACGGTGGCTGGTCCAAATGGTCCGATAAGTATTCCGACTGCAGTAGAACATGTGGAGGAGGTGTGCAATACAGAGAACGTAGATGCATCGCACCTCGGTAAATATTCATATTTGTTTTCCTCAGAAAAGGTCTTTCGCCATTGATCAAAGCACGTTCGGTAGCGTAAATTAAAGCGAAGGTTACACTCAGCTTAGAAGAACAAAAACAACAATAACGATCCTTTGTTTAAACACGATTTTGTTTAAAGCGACAGGTTTACTTCTAGGGAAGCATTGTACATTTGTAATTTGAATGAGTAGCAACCCTTACACAACACTTTACTAAGAGCGTAGTATTTTTGTGAATTTAGTAAATATATTTGTAGATGTAAGAAATTGGGAGAACAAGTATGCCATATGTTAATTATTGCAAGTCGTTAAAAAACAAGAAAGCCCTGTCTTTTAATAAAAATGGCTGTAGTAAAAGATATGTTGTATTTAAAATTCAGCCCCAAAAATGGCGGGAAGCGCTGTGAAGGAGAGGAAAGGGAATACAAACTGTGCAACACTGGGGTAAGTTACTCGATTAAACGACGCAAGACACATAAATATCGCAGTGTCTTTCTCCTCCCAGAAGTATAAATGGGAACCAGTAAGCTGTAAGCGTCAACCTGGACGGACTAGCATCTCGTCCAGGGTGTGCGTCAATATTCTAAGTGGCTTCATTCCACCAAGACAGGAATCGACACTAACGAAGCTCTATTTCGATTCTTTAAAATTACCTGAAGCGGCATGTACCATAAACGAATGGTGGGTTTGCCTTAAGTACTTTGAGACGGAAATCTGTTCATCTTGGGAACTTTATCTAACTCCGACATTCTGTTCTCTTTTTAGTCCTGTTCGCCTGACTCAATGGAATTCAGAAACCAGCAATGTCAAGTAAAAAACTCACAATTGTTCAACGATCAGTACTACGAGTGGGAATGGAAACCTTCAACGTTAAGTAAGATCTTGTGTGTGCTTACCATGTTATATCCATTTTCAAGAAAATCGTCTCTATCCAGCATAGTCATCAATTGTAACTATAGAGTTAGCTGTTCAACAAAAGTCAACAGTGTAGTTATTTTATAAATGTGCAACATAAAAAAGGGATTCCACATTACCACGTTACAATAAAATTAAGTCGGGCATCTCACGGAAAACGGAAAATCAGGGACACCTCACTTTTGAATGGGTGTTAATTTAGGTACGCCAATCACGCATAGGGTAACGAATGTTAATGTGGTTACGGCAGATCAGCTTTTCAAATTCAGTATCCCTTTGCTTCAATTCAATTGTACGCTTACGCGATCATCTGACTACAACTACAAATATCCATGTAACTTATTTCTTTTTCCTTCATTCTTTTAGTTTTTAAACCATAGCAGGATCCTAGTTAGCATGAGAAAAAGAAAAAAAAAAGGGAAGGATTGTGGTACATGTGGTTGTAGGCAAGTGACGCCACCTTGCAAATCGCCTAATGTTACTGATAGATATCACATTTTGGTGTTATTGGAAGCTTGCTGCAATTTTCAGTTGAAAGTGCGGGCTAGATAGAGCCAACTAAACCAAAAAAAGGTTTATCGCAGTTAACTGAATCGTGAAGAACTAAACGTTTGTTTGCAGAGAGCAAGTGTGTTCTGGGCTGTTTTATCAAAGGAACTGGATTAGGTTTTGCCTTTGGAAACGTTGTCGACGGCACGGACTGTGAAAAAAATTCTCTTGACAAGTGTATCGAGGGACAATGTACGGTAAGTTGATAAAACAATTGATAACTTTTGGTGGTAAATGTTTTGACCTTTATATCTCCCTGCGGTAACATCCAAGTTTATATCATTTGTCATCTGAGATCATCACCGCTAATATCTCTTAATTCTCTTTAGAGTGAAAAAGGTACATATTATTTCCTGTGTGATTATCAACCGTATCCGCCTCGCCATGTATACATAATTCAAATTGATATGTCACCCAGGTTTTGTAAACAGTTATGAGCACGAGCCTGACAATTGTTGTTATCTCTTCAATAGAAAGTTGGTTGTGATGGCGTAATTGGTTCTAATGCAGTAATCGATAGATGCGGTGTGTGCAATGGAGATGGAAGTACTTGCTTGCCGGGATCCAGAGACAGCGTAGCACGAAACAGCACAAGCACAAAGAAGGAAGTTACTCCGGGAGCTGCTAACCTTATCACAAGTGCCTTGGATTGGCTGAAGCGCATGGGTTATGATGTCGACAGAAGAGGACAAATCGCCTCTCCTGAAAGCATCACCAAAGACACACAGAAGGAAGACTTTTACTGGGCTGTGGTCAAATCTGGCTGCAGTGTATCCTGCGGTGGAGGTAGTGCGGCGATCAGTGTTTGTTAACAATGTTCTTTTTCACTGATTTCATCCGAATGTTTTTTATTAGTTTTATTAGAAAACAATAGAGGTAGTCGAGAAGTAGCTAAAAGTGTTGAATTGCTAATTCTTATCCTGTTGTGAACTGATCCACTGGACTTATTAAAACATCTATAGCTTCTTATCAATTATACTTTCCTTTATTTACCAAAGAGGTCTATATTATTTCTTTATGAGTCTCCTTATTACTCCCTTTCCTTGTGTTAGGTTCGGAGACTTCCTATGCTGAATGTCGAAGGTCAGACGATGGTTCACCAGTGACTCAAGCCAAATGTGATGCTGGCATGAGACCACCGCGTGAGACAGTTCACTGCAACTTTCAACCATGCCCTCCCGTGTAAGTAGTCATGAGACGACTTCACTTTAAAATAAAAACATCAAAGCAATTGCTTCATTTATAATTGAGATTGATCATATGTCTGAACGGCGAGACATTAGGAATAGCCCTTAATTTACATGCAGGTCCCGACTTCAGTCTACATCTGACCCACTTCAGTACAGTAAGGGTGTTTAATGGGAGGCCTAGCTAGGGAGATCCGGAAATCACACAGTAAATGAAGTCTTCAGTTTCCTTACTGGTTAACAAAGATTACCTCAATATTTATCATAGTTGGAAACCGGAGGGATGGGAAGACTGTTCTCAGACCTGTAATGGCGGGAACAGAACACGTGAAATAAAGTGCATGCAAGTGGCAGCTGATGGAATTGAATATGACGTAGACCCCAGACTCTGCTCAGATCCTAAACCGTCCATGGTGGAAGCGTGTAATAACGTGCCGTGCCCATCTGAGTGGGTGGCACAGCCATTTGGACAGGTAGGCGTGTGGCTTATCACTAAACATTTTGTATCAAGTTGGAGTAAATAGCAACAAAGAAAGGCCCATATGATGGCAAATTTCACTTTCTTATAGTATGGAAAAAGTAACGAAAGAAGTTGACCGTTTTATTCCGACAGAAATAAATTTGAAGGTACACATTACACACATTACTATTTTTGCAAGGAGCTATATGATTTTCTCAATATTCCAGACTGCTTTCTACACAATTAACTAAAGCATGCGCATGGCTTTTTATTGAAACAAAGCCTCCTGTACGCCGGACAACACCTGCTCTCTCTTTAACCCTACAGTGTTCAACAAAATGCGGACGTGGGCTTCAGAAGCGGACCGTAAAATGTATGAAGGCAGATCACCGTGGAAACCTAATGGACATGGAAGAGGCCCAATGCGATGCAGCGCTTAAGCCACCAACACAAGAATACTGTAATGTACACAATCCTTGTCCTGGAGATGGTAAGTTTGCCAGACAACTTGTTAATATTACTAAAATTGTACCTTCTAATCTGCATGTGTTTTTTATGCTTTAAAGTGTTTAAAAAAAACATTATACGACTAGCCCTTTGTCTTAGTTTGGACCACTTTCATCAAATCAATGTATATGCTCTCATTTTGCGACTAGTTAATACTACATTCATAAGCAGCTAACAGTCAGATGTTAAAATGAATAAACTTCGCATTGTAGTTGTGCCTAGGGCTTGCCATAAGTTGCTCGGCAACTTTTTGGCAACTTTTCGTATTTCGAGCAACTTTTTGCATTCTGAGCAATTTCTAGTTTTCTGGATATCGGAGCAGCTTTTAGTGCTGTAATTGGCAATATATACTTCCATATTTTACAATGTTTCAGTAGACAACTTGTGAATTTCTTTAATTTTTTTTTTAAATTGTGTACATTTTTGTTAAAAATTTTGATATTGATGCGTAGTATTTACTCATACGTATTGTGAACAAATTTATTTAGCGACGCTGGTTGCAACGCAAAATTGCACAAAAATGCATAAAAATGTTACTTATGTTGCACAGATTGCATATTTTTGCATCAGACCAAATAAAAGAAGAGAGACAAAAAATTTTTGGCTTTTTTTAGCAACTTTTGAGCAACTTTCGTTACAAAAAGCAACTTTTGACTTTTTTGGAGCAACTCTTGAGCAACTTTTAGAGAAATTTCGGGCAACTTGTGGCAAGCCTTAGTTGTGCCAGAATTTCTAGTAAGTAAGAAAAGTAAGTAAGTAAGTAAGTAAGTAAAAGCTTTATTGATGTGTCAATGTATTTAGTTTCACAACTAATTGGGTACACAACAAAAACTGCATGCTAGGTTCCAGGATTGCGTTGGGAAAGTAGTTCTTTTAAACTACTGCTACTTGCTACTACCAGAAACGTTTGATCATGACGGGGCAAAGCAATGTAAAGTCCAGGCATTAGTTAAAGAGCCAAACTATGATTCTCTGGACATTTTTCTACAACAACTGAGTCCAGTCGTGACATTGCATGTCCTTGAACCAGTCAGTGATATGTCACACATTAAATTTCATTTTGATACATTTCAGACAATTGTGGCGGGAACTTTACAACAGACGTTGGAACTTTCTCATCACCAAGCTATCCAGCGGATTACCCTGATAACAAGGAGTGTGTTACAACTATCTCAGTCAACCCTAACAAGGTTATCAAGCTTAATTTCCACAGGTAAAAGTTAAGCTTTTGACTTTCCTCTTACTTTTTTGTTGACTTCCAGATTGATAAACAATTCTACTCTCAATCTTGAAAAGTGCCTTGTGTAATTGCTTGGAACTTTAGAGCCGTTAAGTGTGATGGCTCAACGTCAAATAGTAAGCGCAAAAGAGCCACAAAATGCCATTATGTCCGAAAGAAAGTAATGATAATAACAATAATAATAATAATAATAATAATAATAATAACAATAACAATAAACAAGCGAATATTAACGTTAAAAGCCGACGTTTCGGCGTCATTGTGACACCATTCTCAAGGCAAAGTGAACAAAAAATGCGATATCGATGCCTTGAGAATGGTGTCATGATGACGCCGAAACGTCGGCTTTTAACGTTAATATTCGCTTGTTTATGCTTTAAGAAATCGTTAATAATAACAATAATAACAATAATAAATAGCATGTTATTAAAATAATAAAAAGCGAATTATACTATTCTTACAGATTACCTGCATGTAGAAAGGCAAAAAATGAATCTCTTAACCTCCTATTGTCGAAAACTCAAGCTTTGTTTTGTCTGATTGGTTGGTTTTAGCATGCAGGTGGTATCTCCGGAGGACACCTCAAGACCCGAGAAGTGTAAAGGCGACTTTGTGAAGGTTATGGATGGCGACTGTTCGTCATTCAAAGCTGAAACGAAATACTGTGGAAAACAGGAACCAGCTCCATTCATTTCCACAGGAAACAAACTTTGTGTGAAGTTTTTTTCTGACGAATCTCAGACAGCTCAAGGATTCAGTGCATCTTATGAGGCTGTCGACAGGCCAACCAATCCTGGAGGTAGCAAAGGGGAGGGGCTTCTTCTTTTCAGTATATAAGAACAAGCCATAATACAGCAAAGTTTTAAGGTTTACTTAAGTTTACAAACAATGTTGGTGTTTCAAGAAACTGTTGGTTACGGGTGCAAAAACAGTTCAATAAGTTGATAACGATTTGTAAAGTTCTCATATATTTTAATACCTACCTTACTGTTAGTGGTGGTGTATTAGTATAAGCTAACTCAACTGTTATTTTATTTATTACACATCAAATAAAGCAACATTGATATTTTTTCCTACTTATAACAACTTTACTTTATGATTAAAAGGATTTCGACAAACATTTTGTTAAAGGCTAATAATTTCTCTACACAGATCAGTGCGGTGCTGTTCTGACCTCACCAGTTGGTTTGATAACATCACCTAACTATCCAGAGCCGTATCCAAGCAACGAGGAGTGCAATACTACCATTAAAGTTGCAAAGGGTCCAATCAAGGTCGCTTTCCAAGCTTTTGACGTAGGAAATACAAAGTAAGCAAACATCTTTGCTAAATGTATTGTACTGAAGATGCCATGAATCCTATCAAGGACTCGAGTGACCATTGCTATCGCACTGATGTAGATTTCGACTCCCTGAGCGTGATTTTACTCACCACGTACAGTGCAGTGTTATAGCATTTAACGAGAATTCGTTTCAATCCACTTATTAAAAACTTTTCTAGCCGCATCTTGGCCGAAGTGAAAACAAAATAACACAAGAAAAGAGTGGGATACCGTAAATTTGTAATACGTAAATGAACATTTCTATTACTGCTACCTGACCACAGCTGTGAAGATGATTATGTGGTAATAGACGAACCTATTCAAGGAAAGACCAGAAAGCTTTGTGGAAATCAGATTCCGAAGGCCTTCAATATTTCCTCCAACGAGCTCAAGATTGCTTTCAAGTCTAAGGAGCGCATTGGAAGACCCAAACCTGGATTCGTGGCCACTTACACATCAGGAACAACTCCAGGTAAACGTTATCATTAGTGCACAATAGAGGATCTGATGCCGCTCATGTCAAAGTTAGAAGGCCGCAGAAGACTTAAGAGGTCCTCTGCAGATATGTAATATCTCCTATCTGGAAATCATAGGAGCTTTAACGGCTCATCGTAGGGGTCACATTTCATAACCTAGATGGATGACTTTCGCACAATTCAAACAAGGCTGAAAGGACTTGTAGAAAAATGGCCCTGAAAAGCCCCAATGGGGGAGTGGTCAATGAATATATTGATCTCTTTTTTATTTTTTTTTTTTTAATGATTCGCCGCCTGCTCCTCAACCCTAATAGTTGCCATGGCTCTTTTCACAGATGAGATACGAAAAACCGCGGGAAATGCTGGAATAAAAACTTTTACTTCTAAGCTAGACCAGGGTCTCGTGGCAGATGCTGTAACCAGAGGTGAGCTACTTGAAATGTTTCCTCTATTTTAATGCATTTCTCTTCATCAGACAACGTCATGCTTAAGTACGCAAGAGTATTCTGACCTACAGAAAAATGTTGCATATTGTCAGGAGAACTCTCTTGATATTGCATATGTTGTTTTTGTGTTGCAGAGCATATCCCAAAGCCTTCTAACACCGGAATTCCGGCGGGAATGGGAGTAGACTTCTTACCAGTATCTAAACAAGACAGCAAAGAAGGTATGATTTTCTTTTGATAACATACTATACATAGGTACACGTATCAAAAGTGTGCAAAACACTTTTACATTAGATAGCGGCTTACAGGAGAGAAGTGGCAATAGACCAAAAGAAAGAGCCTGTCTAAAATAAATGAAACAAAAGAGTCCGTCCTGTTTGGTAACACAAGAACAGTACCTTAGTGGCATGGCGAAAATTTGGTTATATAGTCGTAGAAGTGGGGGTGGTAAAACTAACGGTTCCGTACTATCAGAATCTTGACATCAATCTTGACATTCGGTATTTTCATCGAGTTATAGAAATACGAGTGGAAATTTGGTAGAACTAATGTGCGAACAAGAGCCGATGGAGTGTTTCCACAGATTTTTGGAGTTCTCCCAAATTCTCACGAGTGTTATACTCCTTTACATAAATAACATTTAATTTCAGTCAGCTCGATTAGCTTTTAAATTATTCTGGGTCTGGCTAATTTTCTGATTCAATTATCTTTTTTGTAACTAAGAGTTTTCCTATTTTGGTAATAAATTAAAGCGTTTGTTGTTGTTGTTGTTATTGTTGTGTTTCTACAACTTGAAAGAATATCATATAAAATCTTGGTCTTTGACCATCGTAGCTTGATTAAAAATATAAAACAAACAGCGGTGATAAACATTTAAAAACATGCATTTCATGAACTTGACTTTTCGTATGCTAGTCAACACACATTTTCAAAAGTATAACCGTTAAAATTTTTTGAAAAGCTACAGCTTGCATTTTCTTTTCTTTTCCTAAAATAAAAAAAACAAGGCATCCCCATAACTAACTGCTATTGCTTTCGTTTCGTTTCCTCAAAAACAAACCGGTTTGTTTTGGTTTTATTGTGATTAGCTAATCAAACAACTTGAACCACCGTTTACTCTGCGAACATCCTTCGGACGGTTAAGAACATGACTTAAACTATTTGAACGCGGTTGTTTCTTGTCTAGTTCTTAAGAATAACCAAATTCTCTTTTCTGCTCGTCCTAGTCTCCAAGGAGGAAGGAGAGGACATAGATGCTGGTGTCGGAGAAAACAATGGTGAGTAGATATTATTTCATTTTGTTTATTACAACATATCATAGTTTACTCTACCCTGCTAGGTGGTCCAACTAGGTCATTTGAAAAAGAAATTCATAATCTCATTCCAGATAAAGAAAACATTGATGATGACCTCATATTAGCCAAACCCACAAGTGGTCTTCAAAGTGGTAAGTGGTAACTTGTCCACAAAGCACCTTGGATTGCTAAAGTTAGCCATCTACTAAGAATAATTAGAAACGTAAAAGTAACCTTTATTTATGCTGTCATTGTTGTTGCATTTTATGATACATCGTAATTAATTATTAATATTGCATTGAGTGTTCTAATTATCTGCCTTGGGATCCTTCATTGCTGGGCATGATCACGGCAACATCAAACCCTCAGCGGCCATTGAAGTTCCTCTAAGGTCTTCTTATCTTGGACCGTCTTACTAGGAAGCTTAAGCAATGACGACGGCGACACCTAACAAAAAATGAATTTTTACTTTGCCAACGAATTTCGAAGTTACCTAAACACCTGCTAAAACTGAATATGAAATGCCAGCGATCAGTTCCCAAAGGAAAAACGAAACATTAGCCGTCGTGGAATACATCCTCCAAAATACGCAGAACATGGTAATTTTACGTTTCTGCTTTCCGGGTGACAGCCACGAGATATAAAAAGACAAATAAGCACGTAACTTCGTCACCTTACTTATTAAACCATATTTTGCTCGTTGACGTTGTAGTTGTTGTTGTTTTTTTGGATTGCTAACGCTTAAGGACCCTAGTCAGCCTTTGGATGCCATCGAAATTATTGACATTGCATGGTGAAGCGAAATCTTATTGCTTTGCTGTAACTTGTGTTTCTGAAAGTATGTTTAATTATCCTTGGTAGTTTTACAGCGATTTCCTTTGTTTCGACATGCTCCGAATAAAATATACTAACCAAACTCTGGCGTGTAAACAAAAACAAAGGTGTGGCTGACTACGGCCCATTTAGCTCCCTGTAGCCCTAAGGGAATAACTGCACGAATTCAGGCCAATATTTCCATGTTTGATCAACAATTTGACGCACCGAGACACTGGCGTTTTTATCAGTTGTTATTTTTTTAAGCTAGATCCAGTTCCAAGTTGATCGTACCGCTGTACATGCATGTATGTACAAAATATTATTCTCTGTTCTTCATTGTAAAATCGACAGCTCTCAGTCAACTCAATGGAGACTCAAGTGGAAGCGGGAGCGGAGATAGCGAAGCAAGTAACAGAAACACAACCCTTAACAATTCAACAGCTGGTGAAGAAGATGAAACTTCACATGAAAATGCTCCAAAGAACAAAACAGAAGGTATTCAAATACACTCCTGTTGTAACTGCAGTCAAACTGCAATCATCCTCCCCACCAAAGTTTCACAAAAATTCGTTCCAAATTAGAAACAACACCCCCAATTACAATACAAAGGAATTCCAATCCCTTCAGTTTACTCTACTGTCTTTTTTGATAGACCAAAATTTTCATAACCCGCTCGACGATTGAAGCTCTTAATTAAGGCTAACATTTTCATATTTCGTACTGTAATATAGGTATTCATAATGATGAAATTACGAAAGAAACCATTCCAGAGACCGACCAAGGTAGGTAGTGTGGGTTACACCCGAATTGGACGGAAAGTTCCTCAACAGGCGTACCATTTCACCCTACGTTAGCTAGATACACGTCCTAAACAAAACCTTACACCAAAGAAATCTCCTATATTTTAAGCTCTTTGTGTGGGTTAGGTAAATTTCAGTTTTTTACAAGTTTTTAGGTGACCAGTAGAGCGTTGTGTATAAGCCTACGCACAAATCTTGTTAACTAAACGTTCTTTAGAATCAACGTGTACCGCAAATCAAGATACAACACCACAGCAGGAACAAAAAGTCTTTAAATTGACAGTTTTAACCGTATTTACCCAGGAGGACGAACAATGCGTCTGATAAGTTCGTCCAGGTAAATACGAGACGCAGTAACTGTATCGTGAACGATTTATATATTCCTGCATGTCCAATATTAATATTAACTCGCTTAATCCTCAGGGAGCCTCGTCAATCAGACCATGTCAAATAGCCTCGATAATGAGACTCAACTAAATGGTAAAGAAATAAATTTCAGTCTTACGCTTAATAATTATTAAGGGAGGACATAGAGTAAACGTTTTCATCCCCCATAGAGGCCTTACACCCGAGGTAATCCATCTCAGATTATTTTCGAATCAAATTATTCCCTGCGGATAACGTTCCCATTCGCGCTGTTTAGATGTTTTCGTGACGGGTGGAATCGCATGGGCTGTCCACATGAGCAAAGTTGGCTTTACAGGATTGGCTGTTTCTAGACCCAATGGGAGTCATTGGGCGAACTGATCCTTGCCCGATATAATAGGTCCGGCGCTCTTCATTGGTTGGTCGCTATGGGTTTGCAATTAAGATAAATTTTGATAGTCAACCATCACGCATAGAAATCGAGAGCGAATGATCTAATTGTTTTCGTATAAATCTACTAGTCGTTAAAAACTTTATCTAAATCCTCTTCACAGACATTTCGAGCGGCCGTCATTTTGTTAACAAGGGCACACTGTCACGCTACTCACTATCTATTACAGAATAGATAGTGAGTAGCGTAGCCAATCATAGAACGGCATTCGTGATAGAACGCTGGTGGATTTACACTAAAACTCGATAGAAACATGGAGAACATGTTTTCTATTTATAAAATAAGGATTGTATGGGGAATTTATTGTATTACCTTATATTTACATCCTCTCTAGTTATTTTGTATACATTAATATATTCGAACTACACAGACCATGCGGACAACATTTACTTTCTACATATTTATATTCCTGTTTAAAATTGTGTACTAATGTTCAGTTACAAGCTATATAATTAGGAAAACAAGTAACCTCGATTATTTCCTGTCATTGTTATGTATTTATACCCATTATTCAATTCATATGCTTGCATATTTTGTACATTGTCACTCACAGACACCTCTAGTAACCAGACTCTCGCCGGAGCACTTGCAGAAGCCATAAAATCACATGGTATGCACAACATCCACTACTGCATGTGACTATTTGTGTCCATGCAGGATTATTCATGAAGTCACTTTCCTTTCGCAAGAGATCGTAATTGGTGCACCTACGTTTAAGTACACTGATACATGGGAGTCCATACATCATTATGTGCATACACATATTTGAATTTAAAGAATCAACGTCACGGTTTTCGCATCTTGAAAAGTTTGGCCTAAATTTTTAAAGCTGGTCGTTTGTAATCCTTGTTAATCTTCTCCATCCTTAACCGTGATTGCTCGTTTATGGTTTATTAAAAATATAGACATAACCTGATATATTACCTTCAATTTCAAGGTAATATTGTACCCGGCCAAAATACCTCAAAATACGGTGACTGAACTATTTTAACATCGTCTTATCAGGCCACCTCAAGGCCACGATGAGAAAAATAACCAAAATAGCGGATCTGCAGAATACTGTAACATGATTCTGACTACTTAGTGTAATATTCATTACGACCTCACGTTCTGATTTCGACCATTTGGTTATCAGAAACTTGGAAGACAAAATGAAAAATTCATGAACGAAACTGTAAGAGGTTCACGATTGTTTTAAAATCGGTTCTCTGAATTGGTTTGAATATTAGTAAACCTAAATCCATTTAATTTCACAAGGGTAAAAAGAATCATGCAGTGAATCACAGCTCTCTAGAAACTCTATTTTCATTCGTCCATTATAAAGCTAACACTACATCTATTGCAATCAAGAGAAGCTTATGAATGAAATCAAATTTAAAAGGCGAACAGGATTTTTCAGTGAAGGAATAATAATACTCAAGGTTATTTTTCATTTCATTGACTGCAATTAAAGAAGCCCGAAAAACATCAAAGCCCCATTGAGAAGTGAACTTGTCACCCCCGCCTCACTATATGGTTGCTATACTCTACCTTGGCCATGTACTATCAGGCCACACACTGGGATCCGAGATGGTGAGAAAATCAAAAACCAGAGATCGCGAATTAAAGCTCAGGTCTCGTTGAAAAAGAGCTTCCTTCCAGTACAAACAACTCCGTCAATTCATCTTTGACTGAATATCTGTTGTTTTTGTAGGGATGAGACTTTTAATGTGCCTCATTCTAAAGGGTAGTGTTTCTTTTCCTTTTTTTCAGGGAATGCCCTTAATAAAACAACAGTTGATGACCTGCAAACTTTGAAAAATTCATCAGGTGAGCCTTTTTGCTTATAACACTTAAAATGAAACCTCTTAGTTTCGCGGCACACCTCAAAGTTTGATTCGCGGTGCAAATGACTTCTTGTGTACTTGATCTTTAAAGGTAGTATTATAAAGGCCGATAATACTACAAGGAAACCAATATCTAATACGTACCAGAGCGCGACGGACAAGCTTTCCCTCTACGGAAGTGGCGGTTCTCCAAGTCGCCTTACTCTGCTAATAAAAACTAGAGTAGTGTTAAAAGCCGATTTCTTTAACCAGCTAGGATTAAAGTGAGAGATTCGGTTTATCTACCGCTGAAAACTTTAAAAAGTAAATGAGCAGACAACAGACAAGTAATACAATCAGGCATAACCAATTTGAAGTGTTATTTCGATACACTGTCACATAGTCTAAGAATTACTCAGAAAAAGAGATCTAGAATTATAATTTCTGAGGATGGAATTAAACGGATGATTTCGACTGATACTAAGGTTGCTTTCGTTACAGAATCTAATGACCTCGCATCGATCCAAGATATTCAAGGCAAGGGGTTGGCTGGGCTTATTAAGCCTATCCTTAACCAAGGTAAACCATAATTTCTAATTAGCTAACGTTCTAACAGGAATGACTCCTGAGTTAGTGTTAAGAATATGTTTAGTTCTCAAAAGAGTGTCCATTTTTGTAGAAGAACTATTAACGCAAAGTTCATCGATCGGACACCTTTTTTGTTCACAACGAATTTTTCAATTGGTACTTTATTTCTTCTAAGTTAATATTTTATGATTTAATATACTTAGTGTTACGTTATTTTGAGTTTAATTTTCTCGGAGTTACTAGCCTATTTTTGGCTACTCAAAATCTGAGATAAAATAAAGTTTTATGTAAGTATGTATGTATGCACTCGTGAATCATTGAAAGAAATTTGTTGGAGTGGCCTAAGGATTAGTATTTTAGCCAGTGCATAAAAAAGCAATCTACACCTAGCCGCTTATTTTATGACAACCACCGAATTAAACATTGCTTGCAGGTCTAATTTAAGAGCTAAACTAATTCTTATTAACTAACCAACGCAAAAGAGACATCTCTTTCTTGTATTCTTTCAATTGTCTGATTTGCAGGTTCATGTCCACCTTTAAAGTCACTCAGCTGTCTCAATTTACTCTACTCGTTTCCGTGTAATAACGATGACGATTGCTTTGAGAACGGAATGACATGCTGCAACACCAAATGTACATACGGAAAAAAGATGTGCATTCCACGAGGTAAGGCGCACGCGCAAGTTTAACTGACGAATCCTCAAAATTAGTAACGCACCCGAAGTAACACACTAGTTTTATTTTACTTTCTACAACCTTTCCTTAGTTTGAGCAGAAGTTCCACGATGGAAGGAATCGTATGTAGCAGGATTTTATCATACCACTAGTTCTGTACAGCCACTGTAACTTCATTTGAACACTGAACCTCCGTTTGACCTGTGACCTGTGTAGGCTTGACTAAGACTGAAAAAGACGTATCGCTCCTTCAGGACATCTATCCATGCAGGGATCGCAAATCAGAAACGGGTTTCCAACGCAATTGGCAGTCAATCGATCGAAGCACGATATTGGTTTTGATCAGCAGTTAAGCTAAGCTGAGCAATTTTGCAAAGAGAGATTTGCAAAGGGGTTTTTGGGTTAGCAGAAAGTTTTTCCAATCAGGGGTTGACACTTGTTGTGATGTCAACCTTAACTTACATTTTGTCGATAAAAATGTTTGCTTATTTTTCCTCAGTTTCCACCGTGTGTCCCTTAAGAACTCCATACTACACTGGGTTTCAGACATGCAAAGACTCGGGCGATTGTGGGACTGGCGGAGTATGCTGTATGGATATGGCTGGAAGACATTACTGTCATCATCTTGGCTATGTGGAATAAATGCCGTCTTGGAGAAACGAATATCACACTTCTTGCACAACGGGTGGATATTTGAAGAGTCTACGGTCCTTGTCAGAAGAAACCAGCTTCTATCAAAGTGCCTACAACCCCAAAATTGTATTAGCTCAAAACAATATTGATACATTCGTGATCATAATACCGAAAAAATTTTGCTTTCGGTTGAAACCGCGATTTTTTTTTATGAATTTTCAAAGTCGTGAAATATCGCTATAACGAAAACCATAACCGGGTCAAAGTACAAGTCAAAAGGATTTGGGTCTAGCGCATTTCGTGACGTCATACAAGGAGATCATTTGCACAACATGCGCACAAATATACTTGCTTGCCTCGAGTTGTTGTAACATTATTCTGAGCAAGAAAATTACGTATAAAACTGTGAAAGCTGATCAAGTTCTAGGTAGTGTTCATTAAGCGCCTCAGCCAACAAGATTTGGGAAGATGTCATGGTCATGTTTGACCGATCGGCGAGTCTGCAGCGAAGAATGAGTAANAGAAACCAGCTTCTATCAAAGTGCCTACAACCCCAAAATTGTTTTAGTTCAAAACAATATCGATACATTTGTGATCATAGTACCGAAAAATTTTTGCTTTCGGTTGAAACCGCGATTTTTTTAATGAATTTTCGAAGTCGTGAAATATCGCTATAACGAAAACCATAACCGAGTCAAAGAACAAGTCAAAAGGATCTGGGTCTAGCGCATTTCGTGACGTCATACAAGGAGATCATCTGCACAATATGCGCACAAATATACTTGCTTGCCTCGAGTTGTTGTAACATTATTCTGAGCAAGAAAATTACGTATAAAACTGTGAAAGCCGATCAAGTTCTAGGCAGTGTTCATTAAGCGCCTCAGCCAACAAGATTTGGGAAGATTTCATGGTCATGTTTGACCGATCGGCGAGTCTGCAGCGAAGAATGAGTAAAGCTGAAATCATAATTATAGGGGCTTTGGCTTGTTCGGGTTGCAGGATTTGGTACGGAATTCAAAATATTATCTTTGTTTAAATGCATTAAGTGATTCTGGTGAAAGCTGGTGAGTTTCAAATCTTCTCAGTCTGTTTACACGTATGTACTACGTGAACGATGGACTCGATTCGAGGCGTTTTAATTCGCATTTGTGTATAGCTTACAGATCTGAACGAATAGCCATCGCAAAATTAAAACGTGAGACTTTCGTCGGCGAATTGCCATGCAAATAGCTATTCCAAGTCAGGGTATTCTGAACTTCTTTCTACAAGTCTTCGAAGCGATTCCGGTCTATTTGGTTCAGCTTTGCATGAGTACGCTATATCAACTGGTGTTTACAAGGTCGTGGAAACAGTCTTCCAGAGTTTAGAATCTGACAAAGTTTGGATAACAAACGTGCAATACATCTAAACAACTTAAATGTTTAAGATCGCCAAGAAAAAGGTTATTTCATTGACATACTACGGAAATTCATTACTAATGTTCATTATCTACTCCTCTTCTCTTCAGTTCAAAACTGGCGCCAGTATCCTTGTTTGACGTCATTAGCTCCCGTCTCCATTACCCTCGGTCGTGTGCTAATTAATCGCAACTGACTCAATTCATAAAAAATCGCCGTTTTAACCAAAAACAAGACTTTTTGTAGCATTCTGCTCCATACAATACAAAGATTTAATCCCCCAAAGAAAATTTTTGGGTTATAGGCACATTAATACTGAAGATACATCAAGTTACCCAAGACGTACCTCAACGGTTGTTAATCTAGATGAAAGTGGTTTCCCTTTCACTGGGGAATTATCTTTGTGATAGTTAGAGAACGAGGAAGTTTNGCTGGTGAGTTTCAAATCTTCTCAGTCTGTTTACACGTATGTACTACGTGAACGATCGACTCGATTCGGGGCACTTCGCATTTGTGAATAGCTTATAGATCTGAACGAATAGCTATCGCAAAAATTAATACGTGAGACTTTCGTCGGCGAATTGCCATGCAAATAGTTATTCCAAGTCAGGGTATTCTGAAGTTCTTTCTACAAGTCTTCGAAGCGATTCCGGTTTATTTGGTTTAGCTTTGCATTCCCTGTGGAATGAGTACGCTATATCAACTAGTGTTTACAAGGTCGTGGAAACAGTCTTCCAGAGTTTAGAACCTGATAAAGTTTGGATAATAAACGTGCAATACATCTAAACAACTTAAATGTTTAAGATCGCGAAGAAAAAGGTTATTTCATTGACATACTACGGAAATTCATTACTAATGTTCAATATCTAATCCTCTTCTCTTCAGTTCAAAGCTGGCGCCAATATCCTTGTTGGACGTCATTAGCTCCCGTCTCCGTTACCCTCAATCGTGTGCTAATTAATCCCAACTGGCTAAATTCACAAAAAAAATCGCCGTTTTAACCAAAAACAAGACTTTTTGCAGCATTCTGTTCCATGCAATACAAAGATTTAATCCCTCTAAAGACATTTTTGGGTTATAGGCACGCTAATACTGAAGATACATCAAGTTACCTAAGACGTACCTCAACGGTTGTTAATCTAGATGAAAGTGGTTTCCCTTTCACTGGGGAATTATCTTTGTGATAGTTAGAGAACGAGGAAGTTTGAACTCAAGGGATCACTTATGTACAAAACGATGAAAAGTATCGGTTCAAATCTGTTTAAAAGATTAAGCCGCAATGATATGTCTATCTTGTCACAAAAGAGTAACGTTATTATTTTCAGACCAAATTTGAAAAGAAAGGTCATCGGATTTGAAGAAGTGACCATTGCTAAATGACGAGTTTTAATCGTACCGCAAGATACAGCGCGTGTAAAAAATTGGTTGAGTTTTGCTAATGCATGGCAAGTAAACTAGGAGATTGATTGAGGAATTTATCAAAAGAGAACTTAACGTTTAATATACAATGCAAAGCACATTTTTTAATATATAGACATATTTTAATATATTTAAAA